AAACAAGGAAAAGAAATCAGAAGAAGCAAATATAGCCAGAAGTTCTGATGACGAATCTGTGCTATTGATGGCCTCTGAATCTGATGATCTGACAGACTGGTGGTATATGGACACTGGTTGTTCAAATCATCTTACTGGAAACAAGAAATGGCTGGTTGACTTTGACTCTGAAAAGAGAACAAAGATCAGATGTGCTGATGACAAATATCTTAATGCAGAAGGTATGGGAAATGTCAGAGTGACTCTGAACAATGGGAAAATAACATTGATTCAGAATGTGTGGTATGTACCTGGCATCAGAAGTAATCTGATGAGTGTGGGACAATTAATTGAGAAAGGTTTCTCAGTTACCATGAAGGACAATCTTCTGAAGCTGTATGACTGTAATCAGAAGTTGATTATGGAGTCAGAACAGGGAAGGAATAGAACATTCAAGGTGAATGTCAGAACTGCAGACTCAGAGTGTCTTAGTGCAACAAGTACTGAGAAGGAGAGTGAGCTGTGGCATAGAAGATTTGGTCATTTGAATTTCAGAAGCTTACAACATCTGAATTCAAAGAAATTGGTACATGGAATTCCTGCAATTAAGAAGCCTGAAAAGTCATGCAAAGTTTGCATGGAAGGAAAACAACCAAGATTGCCATTTGCATCAGAAGTTGCTCCAAGAGCAAAACATGCCTTGGGAGTTGTACACTCTGATGTGTGTGGTCCATTTCCAGTAGCATCAATTGGAGGGAATAAATACTTTGTGTTGTTTGTTGATGAATTCACAAGAATGACATGGGTATCCCTTATTAAGTTCAAACACAAGGTGTTTGATGAATTCAAGAAGTTCAGAATGAAGGCTGAGAATCAGAGTGGTCAGAAGTTGAAGATTCTTAGAACTGATGGTGGAGGTGAGTATAACTCCAAAGAGTTCCAGAAGTTCTGTGAGGAGAATGGAATTGAGCATGAGGTTACTGCTCCTTATACCCCTCAACACAATGGTCTTGCTGAAAGAAGAAACCGTACTTTGCTTGATATGGTGAGAAGCATGCTAAAGGAGAAGAAGCTTCCTCAGAAGCTCTGGGGAGAAGCTGTTGCCACTGCAACGTATGTACTCAACAGATGTCCTACGAAGAAGTTGAAGGAAATAGTTCCTATGCAGAAGTGGACTGGAGACAAGCAAAGTGTTAGTCATCTGAAGGTATTTGGTTCTGTTTGCTATAAACATGTTCCAGAAGCCAGAAGACAGAAGCTGGATGATAGAAGCAAAGTGATGATTCTGATAGGGTACCACAGTACAGGTGCATACAAGCTCTATTGTCCAGAAACCAATAAAATTGAATTCAGCAGAGATGTGATTGTGAAGGAATCAGAAGTTTGGAATTGGGATAAGTCTCAATCTGATTCTGATGTTAGAACCTCTGAAGAAAGGCCAGAGTTAAGAATTTCTGAAGTTGAAGTAAACCCTGATATTGACTCTGACTCTGATACTGATTTAAACTCTGAAGAAGACTCAGAAGATGAAGGTGACCCAGATGACCCAGACTCTGATGATTCAGACTCTGGTGGCAATCCAGATCTTGGTGGCAATTCAGACTCTGGAAATATGTCAGACTCTGAAGATGGTCAAAGCTCTGGAGGTCAATCATCTGAAGCTAGAAACTCTGAAGCTCAAGACTCTGAACAAGTTCAGAGACCACAAAGAATCATAAGCGTTCCCAGAAGATTTGCAGAATTTGACATGCTGCAAGACACTGAAGTAGACTCTGAAGGAGAAGTTATTCAGTGTGCCATGTTAGTAGACTCTGAACCTATAAGTACAGAGGAGGCTCTTAAGCAGAAGCTCTGGCTGAAGGCCATGAAAGAAGAACTTGATGCTATAGAGAGAAACAAGACTTGGAAGCTGACAGAACTTCCAAAAGACAAGAAAGCCATCAGCGTCAGATGGGTTTTCAAGCAGAAGTTAAAGCCAGATGGCTCAATTGGCAAACATAAAGCAAGGTTGGTAGCCAGAGGATTTCTACAGAAACCTGGGCTGGATTATTCTGAAGTGTTTGCACCTGTAGCAAGACATGAAACAATCAGAATGGTGATTGCAATAGCTGCTAACAGGAATTGGCCTCTGATGCATTTAGATGTAAAATCTGCATTTCTGAATGGTCCATTAGAAGAAGAAGTTTACGTGTCACAACCTCCTGGATTTGTGAAAAAGAATCAGGAAGGGATGGTGTACAGATTATACAAAGCTCTATATGGATTGAAACAAGCGCCCAGAGCTTGGAATCAGAAGATTGATTCATTTTTCAAGAAGCAAGGCTTTCAGAAATGTGAGATGGAGTACGGTGTCTATGTTCAGCATACTTCTGAAGGCAATATGACTCTGGTATGTTTATATGTTGATGATATACTATTGACTGGAAGTTCTGAACAGGAGATAGCCAAGTTCAAGAAGGTTCTAATGAATGAATTTGAAATGACTGATCTAGGCAAAATGACATATTTTCTAGGGATGGAGTTCAGATATTCTGAGAAAGGTATCATTTTGCATCAGCTCAAGTATGAATTAGAACTTCTGAAGAGATTTGATCTGAAGAATTGTAAGATGGCTGTCACACCTTCTGATACAAATCAGAAACTGGATTCAGACTCTGAAGGAAAGGATGTGGATGCTACAACCTTCAAATAGTTGGTTGGTTCTCTGAGGTATCTGTGCAATACCAGACCTGATATTTGCTACTCAGTTGGGATGGTTAGTAGGTTCATGAGTAAACCTAAGTGGTCCCATTACCAAGCTGCTGTCAGGATTCTGAGGTATATCAAAGGAACTTTGAAGTATGGAGTGTTATTTCCCTCTGGAGAAAATAATGAGTCAGAACTTCTGAGTTATTCAGACTCGGATTGGTGTGGAGACAGAGTTGACAGAAGAAGTACATCTGGGTACTTGTTCAAATTTCTGGGAGGTCCCATTTCTTGGTGTTCCAAGAAGCAACCTGTTGTGGCGTTGTCAACCTGTGAAGCTGAATACATTGCAGGTGCTGTTACTGCATGCCAAGCTGTGTGGATTCTGAATCTGTTGCAGGATCTGAAGATTAAGGTAGACAAACCTCTGAAGTTGATGATTGACAACAAGTCTGCAATCAACCTTGCTAGAAACCCAGTGCTGCATGGGAGAAGCAAGCATATTGAGACCAAGTATCATTTTCTGAGACATCAAGTTCAGAGTGGAGTGTTAGAAGTTGTACACTGCAGCACTCAGAAGCAGTTGGCAGATGTTCTGACGAAAGCTATCAAGACTGATCAATTTCTCAGATTAAGGGATGGAATTGGTGTTACAAGTTTTGATGGAATATGAATTAAGGGATGGTATTAGTAATAATTCATATTTTATTATATTACTTTCTTAAGCCCATAAGTTTGTTAGAGGGTATTTTAGTATTTTATCTTATTCTAGTAACCCTAGTTTTAGCTTATAAATAGGGTGACAATCATTGTAACTCTTAATCCTGTTTCTTCTGCCGTCATTCTCTTTAATAGAATATTTCCCTATTTTCATCATTTATTCTATCTTTGCACCAACAATTATCGGACCTTCAGATTATCATACCAAATCCAAGTCTAGATGCCTCATTGCGAATTCATTCAAGCATTTTATCACGATTTTCAAACTCTTGCTTGTTATTAAAGTTGTTGCTAACATTTACCGCCTTCATAACAACTTCTTGAACATTCGGAGAAACTACTTATTTTGAGAAAACGTCAGGGTGCACCATATCTATTGGAAACAATTAAAACAATAATAGAATATTAATTAATCTACTGCTGTAGAAGGCTGGAAAATGAACACAGACACATTCCGAAAAAGTTCAAACTTAAACACGTTCCGAAGATACATCTCTAGACACAACATAAGTTTTTTCAGAAAAAAATTGATGATGAATTTGAGCAATGTAGAGGAAAACAATAATCTTTACTTGAAATTCTATCTTGTTTTGCTCCCAATTATTTGTTGAAACAAAAGGATGGAGATTTGGAGTGAAAAAATAGATTGAGAGTGAATGATTTTTAGGATGAAGTTTTATGTTGAGAATGAAGTATGACAATAATGGGGGGACTGATCATGCAACTGCAAGCTATATCAAATTTTTTCGGAGATGTATCTCCGATAATACTTGACATGCAAAGGTGATAGAAACCGTTTAGGAGATATATCTCAGAAAAAAATAGACCAAATACGGCGTATCTCAAAATTGTTTTAATTAAATATATATAAAGTATGTTAAAAGATATATCTACGAAAACTAAAAAGAGATAAAGTAAATATCCAGTGGGGCATAAAAACATCTCATGTAAAAAAAGAAATTCTCTAAAATTAAAAATGTCACACTAATCAAATATAGCAGCATTATGCTAATCAAATATAGCAGCATTATGTAGCGCTCTATGTCTTTAAAATGTGTGCTATTTACACACAAAACTATAGTAATGGAGAAAATAGAGGGAAAAAAATGGAGTGGATCCCAACCCCATAGATATACACATAAAGAGGGGTGATATTTCTACACCAAAAATTAAACATGTTACACTTACACCGTAAAAAATACAGTATGTGCAAGAGTTGGTGGGTGTGAGGAAAAATAATAAAGTAATTATTAAAGATTATTAAAAAAACAAAACCTTATACAACAAAAGTGTCATCCTAAATGTAAAAATATCATTTCTCTACGCATAAATATAGCTCAAACTTTGCTATTGATTGAGATATTTATTTTTCCTAAAAAGTTATACATTTACTTTCTACAACTGTTTCTTCCCGTCTTATAAACCTCATGCCGTCATGCATGATAGATGATATTGATATGTTCAAAAAATATCTATTACTATATGATATGATTTTTTAAACATTATAATTTTTTATGGCTGCTTTTTTCTTCTTTATGTCTTCCTTACACTCAACTCGTATACTATAAATATCACAAACGAAGTCAAATTTCATAAACAAAAAACACAAACCAAAGATGCAAATAGAAAAAGAAAACGAAGAGAATGCAATGGACTCATTCATGTGTCCAAGTTTCAGTACTTATACTTCTAATAACTTAAACGACGTCGCTCAACAAGTTACCTCCGAAAACGACAACTCAACCTCTCAAAACGACGATTTCGAATTCGTTGCGTTTCAAAAAACTTCAGATGAGATTTTCTTCGATCACCGCCACCGCAATACAACTCACAGAGTTCTCCCTATCTTCAACTGCGACGGCAATAAGATTAATTCTGATGTGGCGGAAATTTCGACTTCGCTTCGGAAGTTAATGGTCGGAGATGAGAAGCGGAATATTGATCCTCCGGCATCGTCTTCATCTGAGGTAGAAGACGATCTTGATGCGGAACCGCCGGCATCGTATTGCTTGTGGACACCGAAGTCTCCAATGGCTTCTCCGATCAAATGCAAAAAAAGCAATTCGACTGGTTCGTCTTCTAATTCTTCTTCAAAACGATGGAAGTTTCTGAGTTTACTCCGACGAAGTAAAAGCGACGTTAAAGAGTCGTTGATTGTCGTAGCTCCAACGATAAAGTTTAATAAGGAAGAGAAAGTGAAAAGCGGTGAGAAAAATCCTCCAATAGTTGCTGAAAAAAAGATTCCGGTAACGGAGAGGAATATTCCGGCACCAGTGACGGCAATGGAAGCGTTTTATTTAAGAAAAAAAGAGAGTAAGAGAAAGGCATATTTACCGTATAAGCAAGGGCTAATTGGTTTTGGTGTTGGTTTTCAATCTACTATTGGAAGTGGATTTCCTCTTCATGTTTGATTAATTTACTTTAAATTTTAACTATTTTTAGTCTAAAAAGAGATTAGGACTAAAGGTTGATTTTTAAGGTATTAATTTCTTACATAATTCAGTTTTGGGGATAATATTAGATTTTAGATTTTATATGGTGATATACTGTAAGAATGTTGTAACTATTTGAATTGTGATCAATGGAAAGTGTGTGATTGCATTTGTGGATTGTTATGTATTTGTCATTTTGAGTGTCATTGAGAAAAGAAAAGGATCAAGGACCACTTTCTAGGGTTATCTTAAGCCAAAAAAAAAAAAAAAAATTTTAATACATAGGCTTATCCAACTTTTATGTCAAATTTAATACAATCAATCGACATGTTTTCATATTAATCTTTTGATATTTTTAGATTTTTAACACCATTAACCATGAATATTTTGCGGAAAATGCAAACATTCATAAATAACTATATTAGAGCAATGAATATAATTCTTAAAGGGCATAATTAGTCCTCAAGTTCTATAAATTATTTATGAGTTGTGATATAGTCTCTTAATAAAAAAACGATTCGATTTGGTCCCGTAATGTTACTTCCGTTAACATATTTGATCTATTCCGTTCATTAATGTGTTAGACCATTAGTTACTGTCATGGTGGCGTTCCAACTGTATGTCTAGTCATCAAATGAATAATTAATTTAGTTTTTAAAGGGTGAAATGTTTGCTTCATGATAATGGTTTCTAGAAAAAAGGATTGTGGCTTCCTGCATTTTCTTCTCAGCATATTCATCTTCATGGTTCATTCACCTTTCTTCTTGTAGCTTCCCTCATCGTGTTCTATTCATCTTGTTATCTGCAGATCTCTTCATCTCGTTTTTTTCATTTTGTCTCCATTCCTAGGGTTTATCTTTCTTATTCGTCTCCAAAGTCTAAAATGTCAAGCAGTTCTTCAATTAGTACATCTGGGTCAGTTGTTCGAAGAAACAAAATGAGGGAGTGCTTTTGCCAAGATGAATGTGTGCCTCGTACCGTAGGTGATATGAGTAGTGTCAATTTTGAGAAAACATTTTGGGATTGCAGAAATTTCAGAAATCATGTGAATAAGGGATGTAATTTCTTCAAATGGTTCGACGACGACATTATCGATGAAAGGGATTTGAAGATCCAGAGGCAGAAGAAGAAAATTTACAGGTTGAAGAATGATATCGTCAACACAAGGGGATGGTTGAAATTGTCTATAATCATTTGAATATTGAGGTTATTGTTTAATGTTATATTTGTAACAATAGTTTTTTTAGGTTGGTTGTTTATGTGTAATGACATGTAGTTGTGAACAAGGAGGTTGAATTGTATCTGTGAAATATTTTGTCAGCATTGTTATGTATTTGTCAAAATATATCAATGAAATGTAGTTGCTTTTGTTTGAGACATGTTACTTTTGTTTTTGTCAAAATTTATCAATGAATTGTATATGTGAAATATTACTTTTGTTTGTTTGCCACAATTAAAAGAACAAATGCAAAGTATAAAATGGTCATAACAATAGTCACAAAACCATAACGTTAGTTGCAATATTAACATTTCAAGTCATTACAAAAGTGGCACTGCAAGCCATTAGATATAACTAGAGTATTGGCATTTTATGCCATATGTACATCAGTTGAAATCCAATAAAAGTGACACTATAAGCCTTAGTCTTAAACTACATAATAGATAAAAAGTGAAATAACTAGTACATATCAAAGATAAAATAAGCTTATGGTTGGCTCAGAACATGTTTTAGACCTTTTTGAAGTCTCTTTCTTTTTTTGGATACTTGCTGAGTTGAGCCTCCATCTGGTTTTGGCTGGCTTGATGTAGCAACAACTGGTGTTGGTGGTAGGCTTGATGCAGAAGCAACTGGTGTTGGTGGTTGGGTTGATGTAGCAGCAGCAATTGGTGGCCTTGTTGATGTAGCAGCAGCAGTTGGTGGTGGTGTTGTTGTAACATCCCCAGTTGGTAGTGGTGTTGATGTAGCAACAAGAACTGGTGTTGGTGTTGTTGTAGCAGCAACATTTGGCGGTGGTGGTGTTATAGTAGCAGCATTTGGTGTTGGTGTTGTTGTTGTTGTTGTTGTTGTCTTGTTGTAGGCATCTTGCAAGTGGACTTGTTGTGACCATCTTTATGGCACCTACTGCACTTGATACCAAATTTGACCCTTTTGAGTTGTGTATCATTTCTAACTTGTTCCCTAGCATCTTTATTCCTTTTCTTCTTGGGTGTACCAGGCTGTCTTTTTATGGGGGGTGGTTGCAGGTCAACAGTGACTGTTTTGGTACATAGTGATTCTCCATTGACTGGATAAATCACTAGTGCATATCATGAACAAAATCATCTACCTGTAAATGTTGATCCTTCATACATGCAAGGGCATGATAGCATGGTATCCCAGTTAACACCCACCTTCTACATGAACACTCGTGCTTTGACAAATTAACAACAAACTTTTCTTCAATGAGTGATATGTGCCTAACCTCATAGTCTACTTCACCTGCACGCCTGTTACAAATATAGAAATCAGTTATGGATGCATACTACTTCTTTGTATTACCTAGAAAATCATGTATGAGGCATTACCTCATAATCTAACTATTAGTCCTTTGTGATTCTTTTTCCAACATCTTTATGATATTTGGCAGAATGGTATCAGCATATTTGGAAATCCTTTGTCTGCTAGACTCCCATCTTTGCATCAGGTACACTATGGTCTCCTCAAGCATAGTCGCAATGGTCTTGGCCCTTACAACTACAAAAACAGAGTTAAAGGCTTCTGACATGTTATTCACCAAAGTGCCACACTTTGGACCATTTCTAAACATAGATTTGCTCTAGAACCTAGGTGGGATCTTCCAAAGGTGCTTAAATTCTTCTTCATTCACCTCTTTCATTTCACGCATAATTCTTTCCCAAGCATTTGAATAACTAGCATTGGCAACTTTCCACATCAATTCCTTTAAACACGTTATCATCTTCATTATCCCCACAATGTTTTTGGTTACATTTAAGCCCCTCGTTTTTTTGGTTACATTCTGCTCCGTGATGTACCTCTTGGTCACAAGTCAGTCCCTCAGATACAAGTTTAGTTTGAACACTCACCAAGAAGGGTGTGCCATCCAATACATCATCTTCTTGGTCACATACCATATGTCTAGTGGTCCCATCTAAAGTAATATCCACTATGGCATCCTCAGACACAATGTCCCCCTCAAAGTTAACATTATGGCATGACTCTTTTTGGTTACTGCCATTAATGGTCTCATCCATATTAACATTCTCAAATGAAGCATCTTGGTCAAATGCAGCTGAATCTTCAAATCCTGTGGGCCTTCCTTCTTCAAAATTGTCACCTATATTATTCAATTCTTCAATGGTCCCCAAGTCATCAAAAGTTCCTTTTACACCATTATTCAACTCATCCAACATGTCATATTCCAAACTGTCGTCTTCTATAGCATTTGGACTTACATTGTTTTCAACATTTAGACCTACATTGTTTTCAACATTTGGACCTACATTATTTTCACCATTTGGACCTACATTATTCTTAAGAGTCAATATTTGATCTTCCCCATACACTGGATGCATTACATAAAGATGAACATTCCCATTGAGCAGAGCAATGGTCTTCATTCTATTTGTTCAAGCATCATGTTGCAACATCATTAGCTCATTATCATCCATTGCATCATAATACCACAAGCTCACAACTTTTGGATACCCTAAATCTTTCAACCCACCTAGAATCTCAAAATAACTCCAAAAATCCAGGTCAACCTGCCAAATCTCCTCTAAACCATTGTAACCATATCTATTAAACTCACCAAACCTACCCCCATGATGGATAACACATTCAAACCTATCACCACTCATCACCTAGCCACACACGATACACCAGAAATCACACATCGCAGTAAAAGATTGTAAATACAAATGCATTTTAAAATGATGAGTTCATACACGTACCTCTTTAAGATGCTTGCCTCTCTACATATCTTCTTCTGCTATCGTCTTCGCAAACTACCGTTGACTTCAACCACGATGGTCTTGTTCTTCGCAGGCTAGTTTTTTTTAGGAACAAAGAAGCAACAATGAAGTTCTGAGAGTAGCTGAATAGTTTAGGATATTAGTTACTAAAAAAGAACACAAAGGTCTGCTATTGACACATTAGAAAGAAAATAGGGTGAAAAAAATAAAAACAATGCCACCTAAGTATCAACAAATGCCACATAGACACGTTTTAACGTTTTTTCCCAAAAAAAAACTAACAGAAGAGGTTTATTGTGTAACGGAGTGTCCTTAAAGGACTACATTGGAACGTTTTTTAATTGTGAGACTATTTAGAATCAACAAAATAACTTAAGGGACTAAAAGATGAATCAATCCTTTTTAAAGAGATTGATTTGTTATAAAAAAGATTAAATTAATGTTTGTTTGCTTGCTATTTATGTATAACTGTGATTATATTAAATTTAAATACAAATTATATTATATTAAATTTAAATACAAATTATTAAATCTATCGCAAGAAATTTAGTTAGATTGATAAGTCTTATAAATTTGACTTGTTTGTTTTAGTTTTTAAAAATAATTTTTATTGAAAAAACTTAAATATTTTTTTTTAAAAATTCAATAAAAATTTGGTTTATAATATTATTTTAAAGATATTATATTAAATATTTTATTATTTAAAAAAAAATTGATTATAACTCTATTTTAATATTCAATAAAAATATATATTTATGTTATAGAATGTCAAAATTAATTTTTCAATTTATAGAATACGTAAAAAAAATATAATATTTTTAATTTTATTTTTTATAAAAATTATTTTTGAAAATAAAATAAAATAAAAATTTAAAACTAAAACAAACGTGTCTATAATATCCTATATTCTAACATGTTTGTTTAGTAAAACAATTTAATAATAGTGGATAAAACTGGTGGTTGTCATGATATACATGTTAGACTGATCATCATTAGTGTTAAAAGTG